AGAGTCCCAGAATGGTTTGAGTTGGAAGGAACCTTAAACCTCATACTGTTCCACCCCCTGCCATGGGCAGGGACACCTTCCAGTAGAACAGGCTGCTCCAAGCCCCRTCCATCYTGGCCTTGGACACTTCCAGGGATCCAGGGGCAGCCAAAGCTTCTCTGGGCACCCTGTGCCAGGGCCTCCCCACCTTTACAGGGAAGAATTTCTTCTCATGTCCCATCTAACCTTGCCCTCTGGTCGTGGGCAGCCATTCACCCTTGTCCTGTCACTCCAGGCCCTTGYAAATTGTTTTTCTCCAGTTCTTTGGGGATGTCCTGGATGGTGCTTTAGGAGTCTCATAATGAAAAGGATGCTGGACTGGGAGAGCAGTTCCTCTGGACCGAGTTTTGATGTGTCTTAGGGAGTCCCACCCTTTTTCAGGGTCTTTATTTTGAAGGCTGCACAACAGAGAGAGACCAGTGAGACGAGCCCAGTCCCAGCTTTGCCACATCCCAGGAAGGAGAAGGAAGATGAGTTTCAGTGGGTCCTGTAGTGCATTGACAYCTTGGAGATATTACATGGAAATTGTGATGCTGAGATCTGAGAGCCTGAGGAACCTGAGGAGGTAAGAAAGGACATGAACTTCGAGGTTTTGACAGAGGGCTGAAAACAGAGGCAGTTTGTAGTAGGAGTGGTGAGGACAACCATGGAAACCTGCTATGCAGKGGAGGAACCAGGGTAAATGTTACTGAACCAGGGGTTGGAGGAGGTGATGGAATAGAAACCGTCCAAAGCAGCTGACCCTGGCAGCTGACAGGCAAGTGGCACTTGCTGCAGTGCCAGGATGGGGAGAGAGAGTTTCCAGAAGAGACAGAAGGAAGTGCAACAATTCAGAGATCTTGCAATTAGGGGAAGAAATGAATGAGCAGAAAGGATGTGAACTCACCCAATGCAGCATCCAGAGTGTTTCCAGAAATCGTGAATCYGCCTCCTTCAGGAAGGAAGTGGAGGTCAAAGGTATGAGATAGCTCTGAGTAGGCTCCCAAATTTTCCATCTGGTGGACTCTGCATCGCCTGCTACTAAGGAGCTGCTCAGGGCWGATACCAGTCTGTCCTGTGATGCCCAGACTGGTTGGCAATGGGCAGTTAGAGAGCAGCTGAGTGCACTGGGACCTGGCTGTGGTGATTTGCAAGCAGGACTTCTGCCTGAGTCATGGCAAGTGGAGTTTGTCCCTGTCCTCAGTGGAAATGCATTGATGCTCTGGCCTCCACACAAGCAAGGACCGGATCCTGCTCAGCCTCATCTAGAGGGAATGGCTGCACAGCAGAGAATCATCAAATCATGGAATTGTTAAGGTTGGAAAACACCTCTGAGGTCATTGAGTCCCCAGCCAAGGACTCCTCTGCACAACGGGTGTTGTTTGGATGAAGGCAGAAATCCCTTGGGATACCACATCTGGCAGAGGGACCATKGATTGGGTGTTACTATTTTTCTGAGCAATCAGTAGATTAAAATCACATTTTTAGGCATTGGCTCCTAGGGCAGTTCACTCATTCCATGGCACTGGCAGTGTCCTTGGCTAAGATTCAGGAAGGTTAACAGCTCTACAGCTTTGGAAATGTGCTTTCTCAAAAATGCATCTTTCTCTTCTAGTAGAAAATGCTTCATCATCTCAGGGGGAGGTGAGTCATCGTCTGTGTCTTTCTAAGAACTCAGAAATGTTCTCTCATGTCCTCACGGCCACTTGTGCCTTTTGTTGGCTGTCACAGAGAAGGTGACAGCCAGGCACAATTTCTGCTGTAATACTTCTGTGCCTCCCTTAGCCCTGGAAGTCTGTGATATCTCACCACTTTAGGAAAGCACTGGTTTTGTATACAGCATACATACCCATCCTGTTTTACATGACATCTGTGGATTCTGGCCCCTCAGAAGTGACACAGCCCCTGCTCGTGGTGTCTCTGGGCAGAGCCATTCTGGATGCAGGACTGAGCCTCCCCTCCCTGTGGCAAACCAGGGCCCTGGAATGGGAAGGGAAGCATGGAATTGGAACTTCTGGGTGCACAAGCATTTTGCCTTCAGTGTGTCTAATTCCYCTCTGAAAAGTTGAGATGTAAAAGCTCAGACAATGAACCTTGCCTGTCTTCAATCCACATCCTCATCAGCACAACCCAGTTCCTTCTGTGAGATGCTGGACTCCAGCCTCCAACTTCTCTGGCTTTTGTCTCAAAATGCCTACAGACACACCAGTGTGAAGTAAACAGCAAATATAGAGGCATGTGCACATATATTATAATAGYAATGTTCTTATCATAGTAATGGTCTAATTTTTTGTTCACAGCCCATAGCTTTTGTCCAAAAAAAACCCAAATCACCAACATAAACCCAAACCACCAAAAAACCAAACCCAAAAAGAAACACAAAAAAACCCTCTTATTTTTATATACATTGTACAAAACATTCAGCAAATACCACTCTCTGGTTTCAGGATGAGAAGTTTACAAATTCCAAGTATGTTGACAGCTCTGAATCCAGAAAAAAACTTCCCAGAAAACCACCCTCCTCTTCATCCCAGCCCTGCTTTTCTCTTCATCTGTTGCATCGGGCTTAAGGATCCTTTCCAGCTCAGCATATTTTGTAATTTTGTGATTCTGGTGTCCACCTGCCTGAACACCCTGTGAGGCTCTTTCTGGAAGGGTTAAGCACCACAATCAGGCCTGAGTTCTGGGCTGGAGCTTCCCAATGAGAGAATTCTTTACCATGAGGGTGGGGAGGCCCTGGCACAGGGTGCCCAGAGAAGCTGTGGCTGTCCCTGGATCCCTGGCAGTGTCCAAGGCCAGKCTGGATGGAGCTTGGAGCATCCTGGTCTACTGAAAGGTGTCCCTGCCCATGACAGGAGGTGGAACAGTTTAAGGTCCCTTCCAACCCAAACCATTCCATTATTTTATAATTCCATGATTCTTCTACCCAAGGGCTGTACAATGTGAGGGTTTCCTTGCATCTCTCAGCAAAATTTCCTTGCATCTCTCTAGGAGCAAAATCAGCCTGAAACAGCTGCACCAACAACAAATACATCCTGAGGTCTGGGCTGGGTGATCCCTGGGTTTGGGTTTGAGCTGATTGTGCCATGTGTACTGCAGCTCTGCCTGCCCTGGGCCACTCCTCATCCTCACAGAACGTGCTCAGTTCTCACCTCTCTGCCGGGGGCGTGGAGTTACAGCTCCTCACCTGCTCCTCGCTGGCTCCTCTGAGCTGTCACACGTGGGTGGATTTGAGAACAAGAAAGACATGAGCAGTTCAGGGCTSCTGCAGGCTCCCAGAATAGCGGTGAGGAGTTAGCTGAGGTGCCTSGGGCGGGGGCTGCAGTGGGAGTTGGAACACACCTCGGGTGATTCAGGACACTGCACGAGGGGGTGTTTGCCGCGGGCCCCAGCAGTGCCTGGGCTGGATGATGTTCCTTGGATGATCCTGTGCCCTTCCACAAGAAACCCCAAGGCTGTGGGACTGCTCCCAGTGCCACAGGGGCAGGTGGGGCTTGCATCCAAGTGGGACTGTGGAGGCTCAAGTGATTCTGGGATGATCCCATCCCCTGCTGTCTCCTGCTCCTGCTGTTCCCTGGAGTAAGGGCAGCTCTGAGCACTTGGCTTTGTGCCAACCTCATGGTGAATCTACCCAGCAGCACTCAGTGTGGCTGATACTCAGTGACCAAGATGTTTTCCTGGCCCTGATGAGCTTCCAGAGCTGGCCCTGGGGTGTGCATGGTCTGGTGAGTCCAGGCTTTCACCAAAGCTRCCACCTTCACATGCAGGTGGTGATGCCCAGCCAAACCTCCCAGCCATGGGCTCTGTCCCCTTCCAGCAGCCTCTCAGAGAAGGAGGCTCTGGTCCTGCTCTCCATCTCACTYCCCTCCTCCCAGGGTCCTACTTTAAGCAGCCAGTGCTGGGGTGGGATGACTGATGGGATCCTGTGGGCTGAGGAGCCAGGGGCTGCAGTTCCCTGAGCCAGGAGCGATGTGTTCCTTCCWCCCCCAGGCACACCCATGTCCCCCAATCCCTCCCAGCCCCACCTGAGCCCCTCTCCCACCCACCCTCTGTGTCTGCTCATGGTCACCCCTTCCCAGGGCTGCCTCCTACTCTGCTCCCCACTGATGTTTGTGTTTRAAATCCCAAATTCAGTATGGAAATGCTGTGTGGTGAGCTGAGCCCTTTTCCTTGGGCTGCACCAGAGATCCAGGCAGGAGGAACCCAAATCCTCCTTGCTGATCCAACAGAGCCTGTCCAGRGTTATCAGAACATCCCAAATACCATCAGTGGTGTGGGAAATGCCATCAGGGATGTGGGAAATACCTTCACTAAGGGGGGCTTTATCTCCTTCAGCTCCAGGGGGGACCAGTGAGATGCTTCCTTGCAGGGGCAGGTCCTGCCCTGGGCTGGGGTCTGGCATAGTCATCWCTCACAGGCATCCCCAGAGCTGAGCAGCTTTTGGAGTCAAGRTATTCCTGAGAGGGAATATCTGTTAAGCCTCATGTCCCAGTTAAATGAGAGCTTAATGAAATATTTCTAAAATTCTTGCAGTGAAACATATTTTTTCCACCCTCAGCTCTGGAAATAGCTGATCCATTTTAGCTGCAGCTCTCAGAAAGCTTTCCCTAAAACGGCTAATGTGTTAAATTTCAGCTCCTAGAGGTAACATTTTGATTGACTATAATAGGGGCAGCAGCAGAATTTAATGAGCTTCCAGYTGTCATAATGAATGAAGATGAAATATTTTATAAAAAGCTTGAGCCAGTTACCTGAATATAATCCCTGCCCTTCTCACACCTCCTCCTTCATGGCTTTTCTTGTTATTATTTTGCAAAACAGGACATTCAGACACTGAAAGCTGGTGGGAGTTTTGACAGAGTGGGAAAGGAAATAAAGAACTTGTTGTCACTATTATAATTTCAGCTTTTGTCATCCCAAAGGAATGTAAGAGAGGCAAACACAGAAGATTCTTACAAAAATATTTRTTTATTGAGGTCTGAATTGAATCTTATGTCAAAAATACAGTTAATTAAATACAGAAAATATAACCTGAAKCTACATTTTAAAAATATGTATCTATTAAATGAAATTATTTGCTATTTCAGAATTATTGCACCTGATCCCTCCCCTATAAAAAAAAATAAATAGCATAACATTAAGTTGCATTCTGGAATGTTTTCAGTTTCTCAGCTAGCTCTAAATGACATTGAAGCACTTCCGAGGGAYCCCAGCTGGTCCTGCTTGTCCATCCTGTCAGCTGGGGCCACGGAGCAGCTGGATCTGTCCAGGACTTCAGTTCAGCTCCAGCTCATTCACGTACTGCTGCACCCAKTCCTCCGCGGGGTTGGCACAGACTTCCCGGCCCCTCCTGGTGATAAATCTGTGGGGTGCAGAGAGGTCAGATTTTGGTGGGASAACACTGAATGGAGAATCCCAGAACCATGTAATTGTGGAATGGTTTGTGTCGGAAGGCACCTTAAAGCTCATCCAGTTGTACTCCCTGATATAGGCAGGGACACTTTCCACCAGATCTCATTGTTCCAATCCCATCCAGCCTGGCCTGGCACAAGAGCCCTGCCCAAGCCCAGCCTCTCCCAAGGATGAGCAGCTTCATGCTGTGCCCATTTTATCCAGCAGCCACCAGTTTTATCTGCAAAGGGGTAGAGCAGGACCAGCACAAAGCTGTGCTCCAAACATCACCTTGTACTTCTTGTCTCCCCCAGCCTTCATTCTTCTTGTCTCCCCCAGCCTTCATTCCCTGCCTTTGGAAAAGGGGCCTTTCCCCCCCTGGCTTCTCATCCCGAAGCCACCCCCACCCTGGAGGAGGGACTTACACGACAGCAGGCTGGGAACATTGGCTGTTGGTTTCGAAGTAATCCTTCACGAAGCTGCGGGGCAGCTGCCGGGAGATGTAGGAGAAGCAGCAKGATGTCGGTGGGTCAGAACCAACTGTGAAGCACAAAAGACAGTCATGAGCAGTGGCAAGTGATGGGGAACAGGGCAGGGAGCTGGGATCACCCATCCCTGTGTCTAGGGAGCAGGGATGGTGTGGAGGAGAAGAAAAAATATAGGGTCTTTTTTCTTTTTCTTCCTTCAGTTGTTTCCCTACTGGGTTCACYATGAGCTGGCATTGACACAGCCCATGCCACCAGGAAACATCTCCCAGCCCAAACTTGGCCACCCCTAGCCCTCCTCARGGTGCCTACATTTGACCTCTATACAGGGCTGAGGGGGCATGGTTGTGGYTTTACCCTAAAAAGGGAAAAAAATCCTTTAGGCTTTATGCTAGTGGTCTTTGAGATGTGCCTGTCCCACAGCCCTGGAGCACCTGCCAGAAGATGGCCGGACAGGGGAGGGGACCTGGAGTGGAAGTGCTGGCAGAAGGGACTGTCCCACCTCCTGGACTGTCTCCATTTAGGGAGGGTGGGGAGAGCCTGGACTTACGTGGAGCTGCAGAGGTCTGGTAGCAGAAGGCAGCGATGAGGATGGCGAGGACAACCAGAGACACCTTCATGTCGGCAGAGAGGTGGTGGCTGGAGCTGGAGCAGGCAAGGGTAGCTTGGAAGCCTCTGCTGTGTGACACTGACAGTGTCYGCAGCCCCTCAATTTATGGGGCAAGGGGCTGTGCACTGGCTTGCGTAGCATGGTGGAATTTCCACCAGGGTCCACTCATGGTGCAGTCTCGTGATGGAACAGCCCCGGAAGAGAGAAGCTCCCTGCTCGATTCTGTGCCTCCCCAGTGACACAGGATATGAAACAGCCACTGTGACTATTTCTGTTTCTCTCGTGCCTGTCCCTTAGCAAGAAGTTCCTCTGAGGAGGTTCCTGCGTTTGTTAAGTCCCCTGTTACCCAACCTTCCCAGGCAGCTCGGAGGGGAGAGCACATCTGTGCAAGAGCTGTGCTGGAGAKTCCAGGAGCATCAGTGGGATGCTGGTTAGGGAAGAAGAGACTGAAGTCTCCTTYACCATGGACTTGTCCCCTTGCACATCTGCAAAGCCCTTGCTGCCCMAGGGGCAGGAGGTGGGAGCTGTCACCAGTGTCCTGCACATATTCCCATAGCTGGAGGTGGCTCAGGGCATGTCCTGCAGCTGTGACTTTCATGGTGGGCATGAAAGAGGAGTCTCAGAAGCTGAAACACTCAAGTTTCCTCCTCGATTTAAGGGAAGGGGGAGCTGAGATGGGCTRTTTGTTATTTTAAGTACACATTAAATGACAATTTAGATTAGACAGTCAAATTTCAAGGGCTATTGATAGTCTGGGAATGGGGATGCAGAGAGTTGAAAGAAGTGTGGAGACTTGGAACCCTGAAGATGAGGAAGAAGGAGTTCCAGGAGCAGGGTGAGGAAGGAGACACTGCTTCTGAAGATGAGGAGCAAATTAACTGTGGGATGAGAGCCTGGGCACAAACCAGGATGTTGGGAAAAAAAGATTATCCTGTCTCAGCTGATGAAAGAAAATGACATACTGGGGAAGCAGTACAATGTATAGGAGAGACTAAGAGCTCTCTGAGGGCTGGGCGAGGGATGAGACAGGGATGGCTCACTGGGAAGAAGCCATCAGCGTCCATGAGAGAGCCATGGTGGCTCCCTGAGGAGCAGAGGGAAGGCCTGGCAGGGAGGTGATGGGTGCTCTGGGAAGAGCTGAGGGCTCTCCAGCTGTAGTGAGATATTCCTCGAAGGATATCTGTTCTGTACAGGAAGGCAGACATTCCTGAGTAATGTCTCCATTTTGTTATTTTCAAGACATGGTGGAGTGGTGATGCCTTGGCAGACATTTCCTGAAAGCCAGTGGAAGGCTCATGATGTAAAGTGGAGCAACCCAACCTCACCCTGGCACCTCTGCACCCCGACAGTGCTGGGTGCTGATTCAMCCTGGTTCTATTAAAGGTGTCCAGCTACTGCCCCAGGAACTTTGTGTAAATAAAGTGRTGTTTTCCCCATGTCTTTCAGCCCCCCACCAGCTGTGCTGGGTTAGCTCTGTGCAGGGGAACTGCCCTGCTCCAGTGGGCAGAGAGGGGTCCAGAGGACAAGGCACGGGAGAAGCCCCAGACTTGTCCCTCCCATCCTCAGGCAGGCTCCTGCTGGGAGCTGTGCTGGTGTCTCTCACCCAGGCTGGGGAGGGCAGATCTGCCCCATGGAGCAAATGTGACTCTTGCCAAGCTGAGCATCCCCTTCCATGGCTGATCTGGCCCCTTTCCATCCTTCCCTTTGCAAAGAGGCATCTTGCAGGCTCACTCATCAGTCCAGATCCCATTCCCTCACTCTGTCATCTGGCCTGCCCCCAAATATCCTGGGAAGATGAGGAGAGAGCCTGCCTCCAGGGCACCCAGCCAGGCAGGAGATGGGAACCCGGCGTTCCTACGAACGCCAGCTGGGCTGGGAGCGAGCGAGCCTCAGCTCCCTTGGATCCTGTCTGGCTGCTCAGGGAATATCATGGATGCAGGAGTGTGGTTTCCCTCTGAGCTCCTCCCTCTGATTGTGGCTTCAAGCATCTGTGCGTCACGCCTGGAGATCCGGCACCTGCGGCCAAGTGCTCCMGTCCTGTTTCCAAGGCATTGGTGCCAAAACGCGAGGAAATGTTCTGCTAAAAGATGAGTTTCATGAAAACAGAGGRATTAGTTTGGGATCTGCATTGATTATTCAAATGTTTTCAATGAGAGCTTTTCCTTTTCAGTCAGCTGGACACCTCTATGCCTTAATCCCTTTTTCAGCAAGCACATGCCAAATTATTTTGGACTCTCAGGGACTATTTTGTAATTAATATAAGCAAAAATCTCCATTTAGCTGAGTCAGTTTAGGATCAGTTTAGTTTAAGTAATGTGTATTACAGGGGACTAGGAAAGGCTGAAACTTTTCTACTGCTGAGAGCCAAAAATAACCCTAAAGCCAAGTTGTTTGGTTTCTAGAAATCTAATTCTTCCTTAGAAATCTCACAAAAGCTCCTGCTTTGCTAGCTTGTGGCCAGCTGGATAGAGGTGGGAGGTTACAGTCATGCCAGTGATGCCCTGGGATGTTGCAATATGCTCCTAAAAAATGTTTCCTTATCCACTTCCCACGTTCCAGTGCTGATGAAAAGAGAAAGTAATCTCTTATAGCTCTTTGCCTTTTTAGGAAGGGAGCTTGAGTGGTCTCAAATAAGGAACCATTTTCCCTGCGAGGTGCCTTGAGTCATGAAGATGACCATGGAACAGTGGGAAAAGTGATCTGGAGCATCTCTGGGGGGGTTAATTTCAGTACACAGCAAAGTGGTGGTGTAAGAAGGAAACTTTCCCAACAGGTGGTTTCAGAATTCCCAACCCTGCAGGCAGTGATTGGAGTCTGTGGGATTTGCCATCTGAAGGAGTCTGGCTGATGTTGCTCTGTTTTACATAGAGGGATATGATTGAGATTTTCTGTAAGATCCCCMAAAAACCCGGAGAAAGTGCTAAGTAAAGCAAATGCCCAAAATAAATTCAGTGACAGCAGAAATAGGGAAATTCTCCATCTTGAATGAAAGGGGAACCTGGAAAAGCTGGTGAGACTGGCTGATGTAAGTTGCTATTTATAGCAGGATTTAATGCTGAGGACTTGGGATTCACACAGAAAAGGAAGTAAATAAAGATGTCCTAAGTTCAGAAACTGCCCCTAAGCCAAGATCCACCGATCCCTGCAGTGACTCCATCCTGCCCTGCTCCAGCACCGGTCACATTCCTTTAGTGTCCAGAAATTTCACCCCCACCCCCACTGACATTTCTGGAGAAATGTTGGAATTTTGTAGATGATGTCACATCCTGGAACTGGCTCCAGTAAGAACCTGTGCCKGTGGGAGGGACTGGGGACCATCTGTCTCCAGTGTGGTTGGTTCAGGGGAGAGCRCGGCCACCTTGGGCGGTCACCGCTGGCTCATTCCACAGAAAACATTTTGTGTTTCCCTGAAGTTGTGTCACAACAGGAAACTGGTCATAGCTGATAAGAAAATGTGTGTCATGATGAAGGTCCCATCCAGCAAAGGCATTTTATGAAATATTATATTCCAGGGAAAGCTCTTCTTTCTAATGGSTGATGCCTTACATTTTTCCTGGCCTTTCTTTTGAAGCAGAGCAAACCAAAGAGGATGAAGTGTATGGTATTTCAAAGACAATCACAGTGAAATAAAGAAGTCTTGTTGCTCCACACCCCTCTCCATTCTTGGCATGAAAAGAAAAGAAACAGGGAAAGCCCGARTTTTCACAATTTTTGAGCCTTAGGGCTGTGAGGCTGTGTCCCTGGTTCACTGCTGGCTCCAGGGGCTGGGACATACCCAACCCACGCCCTTCAGCATCCCTCAAACCCCAAATGTCTGGGGGGACCAGACAAAGTGTCTCTGCTGGGGCTGTATCCTCTGCCCACCTCACTCAGATCATTGGTGAGTACCCCAGAAAGAGCAAGGAGGACCAGGCTGAAAATTCAGAGCTCTCCTGGCGTGGAAACTAAAAGAGGGTAGAGTTAKAATAGATATGAGGAAGAAATTCTTYCCAGTGAGGATGGTGAGACCCTGGCATAGTGTGCTGGGGSTGCCCCATCCCTGCAGTATCCAAGGCCAGGCTGGACGGGGTTTGGAGCAGCCTGGGACAGTGGAAGGTGTCCCTGCCCATGGCAGGGGRTGGAACAAGATGGTCTTTAAGGTCCCTTCCARCCCAAACCACTCYTAGATTCTATGATTCTGTGAAAACCAAACCTACTTTTAATGAACCCAATGGGCCTTGTCTGCTCATTATACCAAGGAAAAAGAAAAATAAACAAGACTGAAATAGTTTTCATTTTTACTGGAGCTCYTGGAGTTCAGCTTTCTAGGCTTTTTTTGGGTGGGGTGGGTGGAGGTGTCTTCAGGGGCTGATCCCCTTGGGTTAGAACCACAACCTCCCCTGAGAGCAGGGATAGCCTTTAAAATCGTGTCAGGGCCATTGCCACAGCTGGAAAACTTCCCTAATCATGGAATCATGGAATCATTTGGGCTGGGAAAGCCCTCTGAGACATCATCAAGTCCAACCATCCTCCAAGCATTGCCAGGGCCACCACTAACCCAGGTCCCCAAGTGCCACACCCACAGATCTGCTAAACCCCCCCAGGGATGGGCACTATTGGCCCCAGGACGTCCCTGCACAGCTCTGACCCCTCTCTGCAGGCTCCTGTGTCACTGTGGGGAGGTCAGAGCCCCAYGGGAGGTGTGAGCCCCAGTCCCACAGCGAGGTGTGATCTCTGCAGCTGCCAGTAACATCCGTGGTCAGGCACTGTTGTTTACCGGCCTCACTATTTATTTGAGGCTGGAAAACCACTTCCCATGTGTGGGGCTGTTTGGAGGCTGGGGTGCTCAGCAGCATTTCTCTGCAGTGCAGGTCCTGTCCCCTGTGSTGTGGAGGGTTTTGCCACTCCAGATGGGTTTGTGCCCTTCAAAGGGGACATTGTGTGGCTGCCCYGGCCAGCACAGGCTGTGCCTGGCACCCCCATCCCCTGGGAGAGTGGGGAGGGCTCGGGGAGCTTTAGCCCTGCTCACTGATGTGCCACAGTTCCACAGCCTCTGCTTCATCCCTTCGTGGCCCTGCAGCCTCCCCATGTGGGCTCCTGCATCCCCCCAGAGCCTCTACAGCCACAGCATCCCCATCCCTCCACAGCCACAGCATCCCCATCTCTCCACAGCCCCGGGGCTCCTGCCTCCCTCGGCGACTGCACAGGGATGTACAGCCACACCTTGAGACTCGCTGGGCTCAGACTGTGAGTGGGAATAGAGAGACCTGGGCTTGTTCAGGGATCACCTGAGGGATGGGTSTGACCCCCAGAGCACCTCACCTCTGCCCCGGGTGAAGCCTGAAGCCACCAGCATCTCCCAAATGGATCATGGCACTCCCCAAAGCCTGCATTCACTTTGATGGAAAGAGGAGCAAAATGCTCCAGGAAGTGACAGGGATGGAATAATATTCCCTTCTGTGCTCCAAGGTCCTTCAGTGCCAGGGCTGGGATAATGCAGCCCCCACGGGTGACCTGTGCCCCGGGGGAGCACAAAGTSCATCCCCAGCCTGGGGACAGCCCTCACCATCAGCCCTGGGCAAAGCATCCCCATTCCCCAGCCCTGGGTTCTTTCTGACGTGTTGCTCTGGGTGAGGGCAGRATTTCAGGGGAGCTTGAGGGAGTCTGAAAGCCTCTGGACTAATCCTTGTCACTATTTGTATCCCAAGGGGGAGGACTCAGCACCCCCATAACATCCTCCCCTACACTCTTCTCCTTTCAATAATTTTAGCTTTCTATTTCTATCCTGCCCGCACCAAAACAAACCTCATACCCCAGTCGGGTGAGGCTAAAGTGGCAAAGAATGGCTTGTTTCCAGGAATAATAAAGGAAGCGTCAGAGAGGTCAGCTCATGAACACTTAAACTGCAGGAACTGCAATAACAGGGGACTCTGGGATTTGTGAGMTAAGTGAAAACCAGTGGACAGAAGCAGAAAACCGAAACTAGAAACTGGCCCCGAGGTCAGCAGTCAGCAGGGGTGACGGGCTGTGGATCATCCTGGCAGGAGCTCCAGGGGTGACTCAAAGCTGGAGCCCTGCAGATGGGGGGTGGTGCGGTGTCTGTGATGGGGAGGAGGTGCCCCCCCCTTTCCAGGAGACTTCCCGGCACTCTGGGTTAAACAACAGCCCAGCTGACAAAGCAGCTCTGTGGGCACCRCTGGTGACACAACCAAGGGGCTGCAGCTGCAGCAGCTCTTTGCTCCTCCTTCTGCTCCCCCCGCCCCCCCCTCCTCCAGGTCTTCACATTTCGTGATGGTTTCTTTCCTCACACTGATCATCTCAGAGCTTACAGGTGGAGGACAGAGCTGCAGGTCCCATCACAGCCACCACACCTCCCCACATCCCCCTGTGCTCCGTGCACATCATCAGCCTCATGGTTTGTCCTTTGCAAGCAGCAGCTGGGGAGCAGAAGGTGCGAAGTTCCCGTGAGCAAAGCTGTCACTGGCTGGTGACAGCCACAGAGCGCCTTTCTGCAGCCACAGCCTCTGTCACTGCTCCATGCAGTGCTGGCRTTTGTCACTTCCCCGAGCGCACAATCTCATGTGAGTTGCAATAACAGAGGAACATAAAACTCCCACTGTTGGTTTCTGAATGAATTATTTCCATGGCAAAAAGCCATAATTTGGTTTTGCTCAGCAGCAATTTAGTTGAAAGCTGGAGCCAGTTCTTGTTCTGCACGGAGCTGATCAGATTTACCAAAGGATCCTGCCAGAGCTTGCTTCTGGCAAAATCCACCACCTTGCCTGATATTCACATCAGGACTTAGAGAGCCTTTGCTCCCTCTAAAAGTGCACCCTTGGCCACTCTGGTGAGGTCTCTGCTCAGATGAGGATGAGCCAAAAGCGGCAGCACCAGGGAAGTAACGCAGGACAAGATCACGAGGGAAAGGAGGAATGCAAAACAGATCCTCCCCATGGGATAAGTGAGCAGACAATTAACAGCCTCAGGAGCCTCCARCCTTCTTTCTGTCCCTGCCAGGGGYRAGCCAGCTGGTGAAGGGCAGTGCCTCCTTTGCTTCATGTGCAGCTCCAGGGTAGCCAAGCAGGGGGTTTAGACTTCTGGGAGAGAAAATCCAGGCTCAGAAACACAGCCAAAGCATCCTCTCTGTAGTGGAGGGGACTTCTACTATGTGCCCAGAATGTGACATCAGGAAGCCTTGGTCATCCCTCTCTCAAGCTTTTGGGCTGCTGACACTTGAAAACCTTTCCTATGCCAGGCAGGTTCTCCCCCACTTGCTTCTCACCTCTGCCAGAAAATCCATCTTCTACCCAAGGCATCTCTTGTAGGGAGTRGTTGAGGCTGGCAAAATGTCCCAGGCTGTGGCAAACCCCTTCTTCCAGTGAACTGCCTGCTCCCAGGTGAGATCCTGCCCTTTGGGATGCCTGTGACTGCTAAGAGCACACTGATGAAGGGTGGATTAAAGAGAAATGAGAGAGGCTGAGACCAGGATGGACACTGCACTTGGAGGGTTGTGATCTATGGCTAAAGCCCAGCTGGAGGTCAGTCAGCAGCAGGGAAACTCAGGGATCAATACTGGGTAGTCTTTAACAGTTTTTTCTCCTGGCTGATGGGACGAAGGGCACCCTCAGCCAGCTGGCAGGTGACCCAAAGCTGGAGCTGGTAGAAGGGGTTGTCACTCTAGAGGAATGTGCTGCCATCATACAATCATGTAAYGCMTTGGGATCAAAGATATCTCARTTAAAACCCATCCAGTTCCACAGCCCTGCCATGGGCAGGGGCACCTTCCAACAGACCAGGCYGCTCCAAACCCTGTCCAGCCTKGCCCYGGACACTTCCAGGGCTGGGCCAGCCACAGCTTCTCTGGGCAGCCTGTGCCAGGGTCTCACCATCCTCACCTGGAAGAATTTCCTGCTAATATTTAATCTACATCTCCCTTTATTTATTTTTAGTTTAAAGCTGCCCTCTTGTCCTATCCCTGCCAGTCTGTGTGAAATCCAGCGTGACCTTGTCAGGCTGGAGAAGTGGGCAGACRAAAACCTCGTGATGTTCAGGAAGTGCAGAGTCCTGACCTTGGGAAGGARCACCCCCAGACACTGGAATATGGCAGTGCTGACCGGCTGGAAACACTTTGGCACAAAAGGACTGGCGCTCCTGGTGGAAAACAGACTGGACATGAGTCCAGCAAAGGGCCATGGAGATGATGAAGAGACAGGAGCATCTCTTCAAGGAGGAGGTGCTGGGATAGTTCAGACTGGAGAAGACTCAGGGGATTCTTAACRACACATTCTGTGTGTGTGGAGCAAAGTGGATGGAGCCCAACTCTTCTCAGTGGTGGCCACTGACAGGACAAGAGACGAGAAATTCTGTTTAAACACCAGATAAAACTTTATTGCACTCTGAAACAGCCCGCCTGGCCATGGATGAATTGCAGCCTCAGCTCCTCACCAGTGCTGGGGCTGTGGGGAAGGCAGGCAGTGTTTTGGGTGGCACAGAGCCCACGGTGCAGCCACCCCTGAGCTCTGGGGCAGCAGCTCAGCAGCCTCTGGAAAAACAAGGCAGACAATGGCACGAGAGCACTTCTGTGCTCTCTGCTGGGGTTTTTCCCAGASTTGCATTGTGTCAGCCTTTCTTTACACAGCCTCTCAGGGAAACTCCCCCTGGAGTCCAGAGGGACCGTTGTCCTCTTTGTGGTCAGGCCACTTGGCACACTTTAATTTCTCTCTGATATGAATTAAAGTGAAAATGATTGCTGAGTCACTTGTTGCAGTGGGACATATTCCATTCTTTTTCTGTTCCCTCYAATTCCCTTCACTTTCGTCTCATCCTTTTGGAATTTCCAAATCATCCTTTTGGAAATTCCTGCCTCCAGGACTCCCTTTAAAAAGGGGGCTGAATCCAGCTGCTGCACACAGATCTGCATCTTCCAGAGCTTCTGCTCCTGCTCCAATAGCCCTTACCCAACAGAAAGATGAAGGTCTCTGCAGCTGGATTGGCTCTCCTCCTCATTGCAGCCTCTTTCTTCCAAGTTTTCTCTGGCCCAGGTGAGTCCTGCTTTTTCATTTGTGAAGGGAGAACAGATCTGAGCCTTCATTGTTACTTCTCAATTGAGCTCCCCAGCAGATAACTGGGAATTTATCAGCATTTGTGCCACTCTCCATTCTGCCCAGAGATCAGCTGCATGTACCCTGGAATTAGAAAATCATCTATCTATCTATCTATCTATCTATCTATCTATCTATCTATCTATCTATCTATCTATCTATCTATCATCTATCTATCTATCTATCTATCTATCTATCTATCTCTCTATCTATCTATTTATCCATCCATCCATCCATCCAACCATCCTTCCATCCTTCCATGCATCCATGCATCCCCCTGGGGCTCAGAGTTGAGGGATTTTGGCCTCTGTCCTGGGCTGAAGGAGTTGGAAAAGTGAAGCTCTGAGCAATGGCAGGGTGAGAATCTCCCACAGTACTTCAGCACTGCTCGTGGCATCAGAACAGATGATCCCCAGTGTCCCTTTCCAACTTAATTATTTTCTAATTCCAGCACAGCTCTCAGTGCTCACATTGTCTTCCTTTGCCTCTTCCAGCTGGACCTGACCACCCAATCTGCTGYGTCACGTTCACACAGCACAAGCTCCCACGGAGGCTCATCCAGCGCCATTATGTGACCAGCACCAACTGTCCCCAGCTGGCCATCGTGTGAGTGCCAGCCTGTGGGACAGGGCAGTGACAGCCACTGTGGGGGATGGGGTGGGTGACCAGCTCTGCACGGCAAGGGGGTCTGCAGGAACAGAACAGAGGGAGGGYAATCCCAGAGGGAAAGGGCTGGCACAGGGATTGCTGCGATGCTCTTGTGGGGGATTCCCAGGGATTCTCCTGCAGGAGTGGAGGAGGCAGTGTGGGAAAAGGGAAGGAGAGGGRAGCATCACAGCCAGCTGCTGGTTTCCACATCAGAACAGGGGAAAACCTCTTGCAATGCCTGAAGCTGGGATCCAGGCTCTCCTGGGAAGCAGTTCTGTGCAGAGATCTAACATGTCCCATCCCTGTYCCACAGGTTCGTCACAAAGAAAGGCCGCCAGGTCTGTGCTAATCCCAGAGACAYCTGGGTCCAAAGCTACCTGCAAACCTTGAAGCAGAACTGAGCCAAGCAGGGTGGCAAGCGTAGCTGCTGTCATGGACAAGTCACGTTATCCTGAGCTCCAGACACAGAGCAGGACTCTGGGACAACAGGAGATGCAGGAACGTCTGCAGGTGTCCCCAAGGGACTGCTGGAAGGGCACCTTRTGTTGGGGGCTGCTGCTCATCCTTGGCTTGCATGGACCAGGCTGCAGCCCCATCCCTCTGCCTTGCCCACAGGCCATCAGGCTGCTCCTCTGCTGTTGTATTATTTGAAGTTATTTAAGAAATTATCACACTTTTTTTTTCCTGTGGATTATGATATTATTTATAAGGGAGTGACAGGGAGGGTATTTATAGGAGGGTGATCCAGTGTTGGATGATGGGAGACCCTGTTTTATACGAGTGAACTCATAATTCTGGAGAATAAAGAATTTGGACAAAACTTTTGCTTTTTCCCTTTTATGTGCCTCTATGTTCTGTGTTCACCAGAACACACAGAAGATCCCTCTGAGCCATCTGCAGCCTCAACAGGACACATGGAGATGGAAAATGGTTTGAGGCAAACCTGTAAAMTTTCCACACTGCAGACTCAGGACCTCGTTCCCCTGCTGCACACAGCCCCACTCCCCACATCCTCTACAGAATTAGACATGTTTGCACCCACATGTGTGACTTTTACATACATGAATCTTCTCCCCACACTCCCCAGGCACATCCCACGCACTTGCTGCTCTCAGCCCCACACACCCCACCTCAAACTGGTCCCTGGGTGTGCAGTAAGTCACGCTGAGATCAGCAGTGATGCCTGGAGAGGGGCAGGGAGCCCATCTTTTATTCTGCCCACCCCAAGGTGGTTGTTCCTCACTTTCTCACCTGTAAAACAAATGGAAAGGTCCAGYTCTTGCTGCAGGGGTAAAACCAGCAGAAAACCTGCTGCAGTTGTCCTCAGGATGCAGCTTCCCATGGGAACATGAATGGGAAGGAGCAGGTCCCAAGGGTAAAAGCACAGTGCTGGGCAGAGCCTCTCCATGGATATCATGCACTGGRCTCCTTGACACCTGCCTTCTGGGAAGGAATCCCAGAAGGATTTGGGTTGGAAGTGACCTTAAAGCTCACCTCATTCCACCCCTACCATGGGCAGGGACTTCTGCTGGACCATTTTTCTCCAGGCCCCATCCAACCTGCCCTGGAACACTYCCAGGGRWGGGGCAGCCACAGCTTCTCTGGGCAACCTGTGCCAGGGCCTCACCACCCTCACAGGGAAGAATTTCTTCCCAATGTACAATCTAAATTGTYCTCCCTCACTGTAATACTACTCCCCCTTGTCCTACATCAATAGGCCCTGATAAAATTTTGTCCCCATCTTCCTTACAGACCCCTTTCTAGTGCTCCTCAGCACAGTCCAGAGCTGGTCCAGCCTTGCCCACATCCCATTCTTCTTCCTTAAGCAAAAAAGGCTTTCTCTTAGTGTTTATTTTTTTCTCCCTGCAGCTATAGGTCAGATTTGGTAACTCTGAAGTTGGGAAAGCACCTCTGTGTTGTCTTGTGATTTCTCTCTAGTCTTGTGTTTTCCAGGCAGGAAATCTGGCTGCAGGCAACAGGGTCACRGACAGGACACTCAAGGAGGAGCATCCCAGCAAAGGACAGCCCAGCCCAGCACTATTCTGTGTCCCAGGAGATGGGACACAGAGATGAAAATCTGCAGGGAGTGTATCCTGAGTGGGGCTACCCCGCTGAGCTGTGAAACCCTGGAGCAGAGTGGTCACTGTGCAGTAGGGGCAGGTGAAAATCCCAGGAATGGGGTSCTGGGGGTCTCCTCTCCCCCTGAGGATATTCCAGCCCCAAGTATGGTGCTGCAGAGGACCAGCAGTAGCCCCAAATTTTCTCTGCTCTGGAATCCTGAGTGCTGAGAGGGGATGGAGGACACAATGTTTTGGAGAAAGGGAAGTTGAGGGGGCTACTGGGATTTCTGCCATGCCCAGGATGCAGGGACAGGCTCTCAGGGCTGCAGCTGGTTCTTCTCCAAACAGTCCCTGGCTGTGTGCCCAGGCACTTATGGGAATTTCCCTCTCCAGCCTTTCTGGTTTCACTTTCCAGTTGCTGGACTTAYGGAATGTTTCCTTCTCTGCCTGCAGTGGCAGAAGGCATCAGGAGGTCAGAAAACCTTCATGGTTCCAGGGGCAAAGCCCTGGAGAGCCTGGTTCCCTCCGGTCTTTTTGAGAGCGTGAATCTGTGGCTGTTCCCTCTCTCCCAGCTTCACTTGGAGAARCTCTGGGAAGAGGGAGAAGCCATAGAGACCCTCAGTCCTGAGGTCTGCATTGTCTCCCTGCTGGTCCCTGCTCCCTGTCCCATCACAAACAGCCTGGCATGGCTTCTCACTGCCACTCCTGAAGAACTGAGAGTTTGAACTTGGTCTCACAACTCAGYCTCTTCGATTTCTGTGTTTTCAATCTGCAGTGGCCACTTCATCCAAGAATCCTTCCTCCTAAACCCACCCATTTCTGCATCCCATCACTGGTGCTTCCCTGTGGGAACTGGGGGCTGGATGGATCAGTGCTAAGCACGAACACCTTTTGTGTGTCTGCCAAACCCCTGATGGGAACTTGAAGGTTTCTCTGCTTGATCCTTGTTTCTCTCCTGGTTGCTGCTTTTCTTTCCCAGTCCTGCTCTTCTCCAGGTGAGTCCTCCCACCCAGAGCCACAGAATCACTAAGATTGGTAAAGACCTCTAGGATGGTTGAGTTCAGCTATTCCCCCTCCACTGCCAAGGCCACYGCTAACCCCTGTCCCCAAGTGCCACATCCACAGGGCTGTTAAACCCCTCCAGGGATGGGGACTCCACCAGGGCCCTGGGCAGAGGTGATGATGGGCAAAGGRAGGTCAGGAGACACCTAAACATCTGCAGACCACTGGTCCCAGCAGGGCTTGGGGGTGTTTTACAGCCATTTTATCTCACACTGGTTTTCTTGGCCCTAATTACTGGGAGTCATTTGTGGCTGGACATGAGGGGGTCCTGAAGAAATTGCTCCCAGGGATGATGGAGTGGAAAATGCAGGAAACTGTCCTTGGAGGCAAAGACTTGACCTTTCAAGCTGCCAGGTGGGAATACTCTTGTCCAGGGGGTGGTACAAAAACTTCTGAGCTTTTGCTTTAGCCAACTCTGATGGACACAGCCAGAATTATTCCTGTTCCCCACAGAGCTCCAGCACAGGTAGGTGGGCCCAACAGATTTGTTTTCTACCCACAGAGTTATCAGCCAGTTAAAATGTCAAACACAGGCTGATAAAGTGGTTTTACTTTGTTGGTTTTGCTGGGCCCTTTTTTAAACAATTCATGCTTCCTCCTCCAAGCAGCTGCAGAAAAACGGTGAATCAGTGCCTGTMTTGCAATAAACAGTGACAGAGCATCCCCAGAGCTGAGCCTGGCTCAGGCTGCATTCCCAGAGGAATCTGTGCCGGGGATGTGGTCCACCCCCACTTCCATCTCACTGCAGGGACACCCTTGAATTGCCACCCTGAGATTTCCAGKCAACTCTTTGTTAAATCTGCAGTCATAAAGCTCCACCAGCTCCCAGCCTTGGCTATGATATGATGGGGGGGAAGGGCTGAGAGGAAGTTCTGGCTCCAAATCAGCGCAGGAGGTGCTGGAARGTGCTGGAGCTGCTGCTGCTGTAGTGCAGGGATCAGGGAGGCCACGCAGAAGAGAAAGCTTTTAGAGCTAAGGAGGCTGAGGCACTTCCAGCTGGGAAGTTGGGGGTTTTCCCTTACCTCTCCCAAAATAATTTGAGTGGGATCCCCATTTTCCAAACAAAAGAGGGAGCAACAAGAGATGACGCAGGGAGAAAACAACTTTATTCTTTGGCACCAGCACAAAACAGCGGTTTGAGAACAAGGCTGAGCAATGTGGTTCCACAACGAGCATCCTGTAAGTAACCAGAGTACCACTTCCTTCTCTAGGGACAGATCTTACAGCATCTACTGCACCACGACAAAATTCAGCAGGCAAAACTCAGCCTAGGCTTACAGGACAGCACTCAGACTTAATTCCAATCCACAAATAGCTCTGGGAYGAAATCTCCCTCCCATTCTAGCAGTGGACACACAAGGAGGGGCTCAGTTTAGCCACTTCACACAGCCAAGGCACCCCAAGATGGATTTGCAAGGCCAGGAGGTGTTCAGCATCACATCTATTACCCTAAGTGTGTCTGAATTATTGTGGATAAATGACACCTTTGCAAGACAAAATGAATTTTAGGGGTCCCAAGGTGTCTCAGCAGGCCCTGGTGCTCGTCAGGAGTGTTTTGAGGTCTGTGCCAAGCTTTGCAGGGTGGGATGGCAGGATTTCTCAGCTGCCAGGGCTCACTGCAGCTCGAGGCTGTTCACCTACTCCTTCACCCACCTGGCGTCAGGGTTAGCACAGACCTCCTGCTTCTTGCTGGTAACAAACCTGGCAAGGCAGGGGGTCAGGAGTTACAGTCCCGGAAGGGAAAAGGACATGAGGGACTTGGGTCATGTCATTGGATCCCCTCCCACAAACCCTGGAGCATCTGGGAGATGCAGAGCCTGCTAAAACCCAGGGCAGGATCAGGGTCCCCTGGGAGAACCTGCAGTGGTCAGACATTGCTCTCCTCATCCAGTGCACAGGTGAGCCTGCAGGAGGTGTGGAATGTTGTGTGGATTGGGCTCACCAGCTCTGGAAGGTCCTGCTGGCTCCTGACCTCCTTCCCATGCCTTATTCCCAGCACCAGGACAGTGCAAGGAGAAAAAGGGAGCATTTCTTTCTCAGTTGAGGAGGGTGAGGGTTCACACAGCGCATGTGGGACCTGGGTGGCTGCCCCAGGGGTGGTTCCTCACAGCATTCTGCTCCTGGCCCTGTCAGATGTGAAGCCAGGAGCCCAAACGCTGGCAGAGCCTTCCCTCAGGGCCCAGAGCTGGTACTTTGACAGCTGCTGGCTGGGAAAACCTGCTGCTGGTGTAGAAATATTCCTGCACATGGCTCTGGGACAGCTTTCAGGAGGTGTAGCTGAAGCAGCACAAAGTCATGTCAGACCGCACTGGAAGAGATCAGGAAATCCAACCTGAGACCATCACTCAATAAGCTACAAATTCCCAGCTGAGAGCACAGGCAACCACCCTTTAACCAGTCCCTTCTCCTTCTGTTTCCCCTGAAAATTGGTAAGAAATTGCTGTGAACACCAAAGCTTGATAAACAATATTGTTAGGATTGCTTATTTAATGTTTTTACAATCTCTTCCCTTTTACAAACCCTTCCCAGGGTAAAAATCCCTTTGGTTACCCTGGGTCMACTCCTAAAGGCCTGCAACAAAATCAGGGGAGAGGAAACCTGAAAACTTTGATACRAGTAAAATTCATCCTAAGATGAAAGGATGTTAGAAAGGAA